TACCGAATTTCCTTTGGGGAGACGCTTTAAGGACTGCTGTGTATATTCTTAATCAAGTACCTAGCAAGTCTGTTTCAAAGACTCCTTATGAGCTTATGACTGGGAAGAAGCCAAGTTTAAGACACTTTCATGTGTGGGGTTGTAAGGCAGAGGTGAGACCTTATAATCCTCAGTTGAAAAAACTTGATCTTAAGACTGTCAGTGGATTCTTCATTGGCTATTGTATCGGTTCTCGTGGTAGCAGATTTTACTGCCCTTCTCATTCCATCCGGGTTATTGAGTCTGACCGTGCGATATTCTTTGAGGATGATTTGGACAGTGGGAGCAGTGCGTCACAACCAGTCACTCTTAGAGAAGACCGTGTTGTTGTTCCCGTACCATCCAATTTTTTTCATGCAGATAATGTGATTCCAGTTGTCCGTGATGAAAATGATTCGGTTCCAGATTTTGTTGATGCTACATCACATGTAGTAGATGAACAAGTTCATGATGATGTCACTGAAGAGGTTCCTTTGAGGAGATGTCAAAGATTACGCAAGTCTTCTATACCTGATGATTATCAGGTGTATCTTCAAGAGCATGAATATGATCTTAATGATGTTGATGATCCTACTACTTTTAAAGAGGCTATCTCTAGTTCTCATGGTTCTGATTGGTTAAATGCTATGCATGATGAGTTAGCTTCTATGACCCATAATGGAGTTTGGGATCTTGTGGATTTGCCACTCGGTTGCAAACCGGTTGGGTGTAAATGGGTCTTCAAGACTAAGCGTAATCCAGATGGAAAAGTTGAGAGATATAAAGCCGGACTTGTTGCAAAAGGCTATAGTCGGAGGGATGGCATTGATTATAAAGAGACTTTCTCACCGGTCTCTACTAAAGATGCTTTTCGTGTGGTTATGGCCTTAGTAGCTCATTTTGATTTGGAGCTTCATCAAATGGATGTCAAAACAGCTTTTCTTAATGGAGATTTATTTGAGGAAGTGTATATGATTCAACCTGATGGTTTTGCTAAAAGAAACAATGAGCATTTGGTTTGCAAGTTAAAAAAGTCTATTTATGGGTTGAAACAAGCTTCTAGACAATGGTATTTGAAATTTGACCAGGTGGTCACTTCTTTTGGCTTTAAGGAAAACGCCTCGGATCAATGCATTTACTTGAAGAAAAATGAGAGTCATTTCATCATTCTTGTCTTATATGTTGATGATATTCTTCTTGCGAGTAGCGGTGTTGAACTTTTGGTCGAGACAAAGTCAATGTTAAATAGTCATTTTGATATGAAGGACCTTGGTGATGCCTCTGTTGTTCTGGGCATTCAAATTTTTCGTGACAGGTCACGTGGCATTCTTGGATTGTCTCAAAGAGGATATATTGATAAAGTCCTTAAACGGTTTAACATGCATTCCTGCTCCTCATGTGCAGCACCTGTTCAAAAAGGTGATAAACTCTCTAAATCTCAATGTCCTAAAAATGATAATGATAGAATTGAAATGGAAAAAATTCCATATGCTTCCGCTGTTGGTAGTTTAATGTATGCTCAAGTTTGTACTCGTCCCGATATTGCTTTTGCTGTTAATGCTTTAGGAAGATACTTGAGCGACCCGGGTTTGGGTCATTGGAAAGCCGTTAAAAAGGTCTTTAGATATTTGCAGGGAACTAAGGATTACATGTTGACCTATAAGAAGTCTGATCAACTTCAAGTCATTGGTTATTCCGATTCTGATTTTGCTGGTTGCCCTGACGATCGAAAATCTACTTCTGGTTTTATATTTAAGTTGGCAGAAGGAGCTATTTCTTGGAAGAGTGTTAAACAAACTCTTACAGCTACTTCTACTATGGAGGCAGAATATGTTGCTTGTTATGAAGCTACTTGTCAAGCTGTGTGGCTTAAAAATTTGGTTTCTGACTTTCAAATTGTTGAAAGTATTTCTAGGCCACTTGTGATATATTGTGACAACACTGCTGCTGTACATTTTTCTCAAAATAACAGAAGTTCTACTCGCTCAAAGCATTTTGATATAAAATTTCTGTTTGTTAGAGAAAAAGTTTTGGATTTTCAAACTCGGATTGAACATACTGCTACAGAAAATATGTTAGCGAGATCCACTTACTAAAGGCTTAAGCTGTTGGAGTTTTTCAAAATCATGTAACTCATATGGGTGTGGTTAAGTCTTTTGATGTACTGGGTTAGTGGGAGTTTGAGATTCATAATTTATATTATTATGGTTTTTTCACGAGATGTAAATTTATCAATGACGTCATTTTTATTACATCTCTTTGATACATAAAATGTATGAACCATTTTGGGATCACATATTTATTATGTTTGGTTTTGTTTTATTTATTATCTATTATTTATGAAATCTAAGCATAAGGTAATCATCCCTATCGGATATTATCTTTGTGATTCATGTTTATATTTCTTAATTGATATTTGTGTTTGTTTTGTAATTGATATGATTAATTTATTTATCAATGTTATCCAAGTGGGAGAATGTTGTATTTATATAATTTATTATATATATATATATATATAAATTATTATTCTCTATTTGTTATGGATTAACATTAATCAATAAATTAATTTATTTGTAATTATCAATTATATTACACATCATCATTTATGTAAATAATAATTTAATTTGGGTTTCGATGAACGGTCACGTGATGGGTTGGATCGTTCAGAATCAGTTACTTATTGAGAGATCCTGGTCTCTGCTGATAGGTGGATAAAAACTGATACCCCATTAGTCAGTTTAACGTGTGACAATATAATCACTTTAGATACTACGTTCAAAGCACCCTATCAGAAAGAGAGCAACATTCTCTCATAAGCATTCAATGGATTCTTCAACAATTCCAGGTACACAATTTTGAATATATTATATTTATTGTATCTAATATTATTATGTATTTTAAACACTCTCAACACATTTTTCATCATCTTTCTCTGGAAAAATCCAATACAAGTGATTTTTATGGCTAACTCTAGGTTTTGACATCCAAGGAATCTATTCCCAAACTCTAAAATATGAAAGAAACATTGTAGAGTATCCAAAATCCACGAGAACAGTCATACAAATTTTTTATCAAATATTATTGTTTGATTTCAATTCATGTAGGGATGAGAGAAATGGTAGTTTAATCTAGGATTGATGACAAGAAGACTCTCCTCACAATTTCATGTTGACAACTCAAGAAATCAACCGATTAAACAAAAAAAGAAACAAGTTTTGACACCCCTTACCTGGATACATTATTTCCTCCTTTTTATTCTATTAAGAATTTGAACTCAAATTCCCCAAGAGTCAAGCATTACTCCAAACCATATCAACCATCATATGTTTCTTGCCAATCCACACACAGTAAAAATTACAATGTATCCACACACACAATGCATACAAGAAAACAACCATCAACCAATAATTTCTACATGTGTCAATTTAAATTTTGTTAAGTCCCTAAGCATACTCAATGTTTAGGCACACATATGAATATTTTCTAAACAATTTTAAAATAATAGAAAATTATAATTGTTCTAATGCACATACAAAAATTGAATCTATAACCTCCACATCTCAAGGTGAGGATCTAACCAAATGAATCACTCTTCATCTCTACAATATTATTAAATTATTAATTTAATTACTTTCCTTCCTTACAATCTCTATCTTAAAATATATAATTATTTTTCTAAATCTTACATAGAACATTTTAGGACACCATTGTGGAAAGATAACTAGTAGATGTTTAGATTGTGAACTCATGCACTAAGAATGAGTATTATCTTTTGAAGGATGTGAAAAAACAATATTGGAAAGCTACTCGAGAGTATTAGAAGGTTTATCATTCAATATCGTGGCTTGGATTGAAGATGCTTTTCATGCATATAAATCATATAAATCTATGAGGAACCAAAATGTATAGAAACCATAATTGGGTTGTAAAACTGTACCCTAACACTGGTTCTTGTTCAATTCAACAATTTTTTTAATGTTATATAGCCTTAGTTATAATAGATGTTAGTTGCTCACTTGTATTAATATGATATTGTATTAATATGATATGACAATTAGTTGTTACTTGTTAATTATATGTACCGTAGAAAGAATTATCACGTTCAGATAAATGATCAGACATAATTTAATATAATTTTCAAACAATGTCATATAAGTGTAATTGATCGATGTTAAATTTGATTAATTCATTATCAAAAGTGTGGAGAAATTAAAGACATATCTAAAATAGACGTGAAAATTAAATTATTTTAATAATCTATTATATGTGTGTTTGAGTATTTTTTCCATGAATGATATTTAAAATAAGTTTTTGTTTGAGTGGTCTAAGATAATCACTTTTGTTTTTCACGGAAAAAAAAATTCATAAGCAGAAGAATATATATGAAATAAAAAAAAGTGATTGAAAAATAATCCTAAATTTTCAATTAATTGATAAAATCAACTAAAATTTATAACTCATTATATTATTCATTCATCATGAGATAATTTATCACCTTCCACTACTTTAGTACGCAAATTTATCACTTCCACTACTTTCATGAAGGTGCTCTTCCACTGTTAAAGACCATCAACATTCTTTATAGGTGTGTTTCAGAAAATTCATTTTAGGCTGCAAGAAAATAAAAAATAAAGGCAAAAACCTTGACTTGAGGAAAATGAAAGGTGAAGACTTTTATCTAGTAACTTGTGCAAAAACAAAAATTATAATAAAGTATTTGAAGAACGTTCTATTTAATATATGAAGCATGTTTGCAACTTTGTAGTCTCATCAAAGCATCTTTAATAAGAATAAATATTTTATTATAAATTTTATATTTAAATTATTTAAAATTAGATAAATTTGTTTAAAATTGGAAAAAATTTCTTAAATAAATAATTCTAACTAAATTTTAAATAACTCAAACTTGTAATAAAATATTCATATTTATTCTTAAATAACTTTTATTAAAAATTCTTTTGTCATGCCAATAATCTAATTTGATGAGATATAAGAAGCTACGGGTTGACATTATGGGGTATAAGAAGCAAAACCCCACTAAGCGTTTGGCGGACTCGGGTTTTGTTAACCAGTTCGAGTTACCCAACTCATGTAGTTGGGCTTTCCGGGTCGGGTGATAATAACCCAATTTTAAATTTTTTTGAAAGAGATGGACCTTAATCTCCTACGGTTCCCAATCGCAAATTAAAACCGAAAGTAACATTCTTCTCTACCCGACTGCACTCATACCCGTCTCCGGCCACTGTAACGCTCGCATCGTAGTCGCAAACCCTCACAACACTCACGTTGCTCTCGCCGACGCTTCCTTCATCCTCAACGAGGTTCGCGTCACCATCTCCGACTCTGGCATAGGTCTTCGTGGACAGTGGTATCAACTGTTGGGGGTGCGTGGTTGTTGCTTTGGCTGTTCAGAGTATTTCTTCTCAGAGGTACGTCTTATGTTATTATTTTAGTAAAATATAACACTTTAAAAGATATTTCATCTCAGTGTTCAGTTTTTTAATTTTTCTTCTTTAATATCTACTGCTGCTGATGCCATGTAGATTTGGAGTGTTCTGTTATGTTCATAATTTGTATTAAGCAATTATGAATTTATTAGGTATTGTGAATTATTTTATGAGCTATGAAACTAGATATTGTGTGTATTGGATCTTAATATTTATGAGTTATTGACAATATTGAGTGCTCCTTTAATTCCTTTTAGTTTAAGTTTATATTACTCTTCAATTTCTTTGATGATAATTGGTGGAAGAAAAGTTAAAAAAAACATGAATAGTTGAATCATATCAATGATACGAAATAGAACCGAATCATTCTTGTATGATAAGATTCAAAATCATTTGTGATTCATCTTATGATGCAAAAGGTAGGTAGCCAAACTGTAGGATTCGAATGGGAAATCATAAGATTCTAATAAGTATTCTCTGTTTCACGTTCATGCCTTAATTCACTAGCTTCTACATTTAACTGGACATGTAGACTCTTAGCATAGTCTGTTGAATCCTAGCTCTCCTGAAGACCTGCATCATATTTTCGAATAATCAGACCTTCAGTTTTGCCTTGAATGTTATCTTATAAAAACTTTAAGTGGATTCACACACCTTGCTTTGTTGTGTTGTAACAATTCGATTTTTTAATACTTTTCTGATGGTAGAAATTAATTTTTAAATCTTAGGTTGAAGTTATTCATGAGTCTATTATGGTTGGATGCTATATAGATTAGATCTTAGTTTTACTACTTCATACTTTCTGAAAGTATTTGAAGCATCACCTGATAGAACATGACATTATGAATACAGAGGTTGAAGTGTGGCCATTGTTGTTGAGTTAAAAATGGGGTCCAATTCATTGAAGGATTATTTAAAAAGGTATGAAAGTAACACCGAAGAAGAGAAGAAGAAAAAGAAAAAGAAACAGAAGAAGAGAAGTCAACCACAAACCACTGGCTTATTAGTCGTGGATGAAGATCCCACCTGGCAGAAACCTGTAGATCTTGCAGAAGAAAACAATGATAACTCATCTGGTATATAATTCAAATATAATGTTCATGCTACATAATTACCATTGCTAATTTCTGTATTATACTATTATTTCATATGGCCATATTTGATTGGTTTATGTAGATGAGGAGAAACCACTAATTGATGAAGACATTGAAGTGAAGCGTATGAAAAGGCTTGAGCAAGTGAGGGCCAGACGTCCTTATCATGCTATATCTGAGGATGGAAGTGGTTGGGTTTCACTTTCTTCTAAATCTGAAAATGGCACTAACTCAAACAATGATATGTCTCCACCCCAGAAAGGAAAAGGCGCTGATTTATCACCTGAGCAACGGTTGAAACGCAATGACACACCATCACCAGATTACAGGTCTTCTGATTTGCAAGACATCTCTCCACCTCGACGAGGTCGTCATGATTCTCCCTCTCAAGATGCTTTACATGAGTCTGTGGCATCAGACCTTTCACCCCCAAAGAAAATCCTGAAGAATGCTGTAAGAACAGGTTTGCCTGATATTTCTCGTGGTCAATCACCTCAAGATTTCTCTCCACCTCGACGAGGTCATCATGATTATGAGACATCTGATTTGCAAGATATCTCTCCACCTAGACGAAGTCGTCGTGGTTCTCCCTCTCAAGATGTTTTACGGGGATCTGTGGCATCAGACCTTTCACCCCCAAGGAAAATCCGGAAGAATATTGCAAGATCAGGTTTTCCTGACTCTCACCGCCATTCACCTCAAGATCTATCTCCTCCTCGACGTGGTCGTCATGATTCTCCTTCTAAAGATGCTTTACATGGATCTGCAGTATCAGACCTTTCACCCCCAAGGAAAATTCAGAAAAATGTTGGAAGACTGGGTTCATCTGATTTTTCTCGCCATCATTCACCTAGTCCTTCAGTTAAAGTTAGTTCACATCCAGTTTTGGATCCTGACCTTTCTCCACCGAGGAAAAATACTAAGGAGTCATCAAATCCAGCCAGTAAAACAGGTCTAATTTCTGGTAAGGATATCAGGGACGAGATTGACAAAAAGAAGAGGGACGATATGTTGAGGTAATTGTTTAGTTTTTTATAATGTTTTCCAACCACATGTTAATGCATACTAGGTGGATATTTGTTATTGTACTTGATTAATACCATGATTTTGTAGTTCTAAGCATGTTTTTTATGTGGATACGGTACTATGGAATACTGAGATGGTTCATTCTATCTGTCTTGGATATGATCAGAAACAAAGGCTGTTTACCTCTTATTGACTATAGCTTGAGTAGGAGTTATTCTGATGTGAATGACTTGGGAAATGTCCTCTCAGTATCATGAAACATCATGCACAATCAAATTTTTCTAGCCTGTTAGTTTTAGAGTTTATTTAAGTACTTAAACTAAATGCAGTAAGCATGTGATCTCTTTATTATTTTCAGAAAAAAGTGCTGATATTGGTAGGAAAATAAATCACATGCCTAACACTGAAGCAATGACATTTCCAAAATTTTTAAGTGTAATGCCTGTTTCCTTTTCTTGTTAGGCTTTTGTTGCTAGTATATTTTAGTACGTGTTATTTTAATTTTTGCTTTTTTAACTAGCAAAACTAAAATTCAGTCATCAAGATATAGGTAACTAATAGAATATTGCATTTCTAAGACCAAGTCCTCTAAAATCTTTAGCCATTAGGTAGAGACCCAGGACCAGTATTATGTCACTAACCTGCCTGGTCAAGCTCATTCTGACCAAAAGGGCTGTCTGTTATGCTGTAGTTTTCTATTGTGGCTGAGTGGCACTGCAAGGCCATTATTTTTTCTTGATTGTGTCCTGTTTTTCCTCTGTGGTAATCATCGCTGCTATCATAATCATACCAAAAAACATTTAAAATTACAGAAGTTGCACATGTGACTGATAAAATGTTAAATTTTTTTCATTGTCAAGGTTTTTTCTTTTCTTTTTTGGGGGGGGGGGGGGCAGGGTCAACCCTTGCTTTGTTTTGTCAATTCTGTTCTCTGATATCTGTCCCTGAATGTTCTGTGCTATCCTGAATTTCATTTTGTTTTCTGTTCTTACCCAGTGGCCTTTGATTATTATTAATAAATGTCTATAACTTTGAGTAATTTATTTATAATTGAGCATTCACATATGAATATTATATAGATTGTGTTAGAATTATTATTAGTTAGTGGTTAGTGGTTAGTAGTTAGTAGTTGGTGGTTGTTAGTAGTTGGTAGTTGTTGTTTTAAATGTTGTAATCCTATATATATATATGAGATCATAGAGTGGAGTAAGCATCCCACAAAATTAGAAATCTTCTTTTCATTCTCTTTACTCTCTTAACTTGGTATTAGAGCAGGTTGGTCCTGTCCGGCTACCGTCCGACCATTTTCGGTCACCGTCCGGCCATTTTCCGGTCACTGTCCGGCCATTTTTTGGTCACCGTCCGACCATTTTCCGGTCACCGTCCGGTCATTTTCCGATCACTGTTAGGCCACTTTCCGGTCACTTTTCGGCAACCGTCAGTCCCCCGTCCAGTCACCTTTTTTTTTTTTCTTCTTGCCGTTCGACGACTTTCCAGACCACCTTCCGAGTAACCTTCAGGCTATCTTGGGTGTTCTCTTTCTTACGGGTTCCATTGTCTCCATCTTACATCTACATTATTTAAAACATGTCGTCGGGGCCCACGACCTCCTTTTCGGAACTCCCACGATAACGGCTGAAAAATTAAATGGAAAAAATTACATGTCTTGGTCCTCTTCAGTGGAACTTTGGTTCCTTGGACAAGGGTTTCACGATCATCTAGAAGAAGACGGAAGTAGGATACCAGAAGATCAGGCTCAACAATGGAAAAAGCTTGATTATCAACTCTGTGCTCTACTGTGGCAATCAGTAGAACCAAATATTTTGAACACTCTCAGATCCTTCAAAACATGTAACTCTTTATGGAAAAAAGCTCAGAATATCTTCGCAAATGATATCCAACGCCTCTATGATTTCGCTAATCAATTAGCCTCTCTCAAGCAAGTGGATAAAGATATGATGACCTTTATTGCTGAAGCTCAATCAGCAGTTGAAGAATTAAAGATGTTCCTAGAGGTGGATTCGTTAGAGGAGATAAAGCAAAAGTTGGATAAATTCTATATGGTTATGACTCTTCGAGCTATGAATTCAGAATTTGATCATGTTAGAGATCAAATTTTAACTGGACAAGAAGTTCCTTCTATGGAAAGTTTGACTACAAGACTGCTTCGTGTTCCAACTCTCAAAGAAAAAAATAATCAAGAACTTGTTGAATCTTCTGCTATGATTTCTACCCATGGAAGAGGAAGTCGCGGCACTAGAGGAGGACGTGGAGGTAGAGGACGTCCTCGAGTGCACTCATTGCAAGAGAATGGGTCATACGGTGGAAAATTGCTACTCTTTGCACGGTTTTCCTAAAGCTGTCAATTTTTCCAAATGCGAAATGGTTGAACCCAAGTTCTCTCATGAAGAATATCGGGAATATTTGAGGTTGAAATCCGGTAATCTAGCACGGTCATCAACAACCCAAAATTCATCAACGGCTTGCATTTCACAATCTGTGGAAAGTCAAAATCCATGGATTATTGACTCGAGTGCTTCGATCACATGTCCGGTAATACCTCTTTGTTCTCTTCTCTCTCATTTCCTAAAACTCCTCATCTCATAACCTTAGCCAACGGATCTAAAGTAGCCTCTAAAGAAGCTGGTCAAGTCTCCATTTCTCAGTCTTTAAACTTAAAATCTGTTCTTTTTGTTCCTTCATGTCCCTTCGAGTCTCATTTCCCTAAGTCAATTAACCAAATTATTGAATTGTTCGGTAACCTTTAATGCCAATTCTTTTGTTATACGAGGAACGTGGTTCGGGTCGACAGATTGGCGAAGGACATGAATCTGGAGGCTTATACTACCTTGGGACTAAATCATCTGTATCTTGTGTTGCATCCTTGTCTCCAAAACTATTACACGAACGGTTAGGGCACCCTCACTTATCAAGATTAAAAAAAATGGTTCCTGAACTTCAGACTCTTCAAGATTTTGAATGTGAATCATGTCAACTAGGGAAACATACTAGGTCCTCTTTTCCTAAACGTTCTGAATCTAGATGTGACTCTGTCTTTTCTCTTGTTCATTCTGATATTTGGGGTCCTAGTCGTGTCTCATCCTTTGGCTATAGATATTTTGTTACCTTCATTGATGAGTTTTCTAGGTGTACTTGGATTTATCTAATGAAAGACCGTTATGAATTATTACCTATCTTTAAGTCTTTCCTTAACGAAATCAAAAATCAATTTGGAAAAGTAATCAAAGTTTTATGAAGTGATAATGCCAAAGAATACTTTTCTACTGATTTCTCTACTCTCTTAAGCTCCCAAGGCATTTTACACCGGTCTACTTGTCCTCACACACCATGACAAAATGGTATAGCAGAACGAAAAAATAGACATTTGGTTGAAGCTGCTCGTACCTTATTACTTGGTGGAAATATGCCAGTTCATCATTGGGGAGATGCTATTCTTACTTGCATGTTTTCTCATTAACAGAATGCCATCTTCTTCTCTTAACAATAAAGTTCCACACTCTATTCTATTGCCAAAGGACCCACTCTTTCATGTTTCTCCTCGTGTATTTGGTTGCGTATGTTTTGTTCATGATATGTCTCCAGGATTAGATAAACTATCAGCTAGAGCCATCAAATGTGTCTTCTTGGGATATTCTCGTCTTCAAAAAGGATATCGATGTTATTCTCCTGAAACCAAGAGGTACTACATGTCTGCTAATGTCACTTTTTTGAGTCAACTCCCTTCTTCCCTTTTTCTATGCAAGATATTAGTTCGGTCCAAAATGTCCTACCTATACCCTTAGTGGAGCCATTTGTACCTCCTCCTCGACACCCAAAATTCCACACAAAATACACGGAATCCTCATCACTGGCTCTTATTACCTATCAACACAGGAGCCAAATGATCGATCCCATGTCCCAAGATGAGTCTTCCTCAGCAGATCCTTCTCAATCATCCTCTGATACCACGATTCCTGATAATGATGACTCAAGTTGGCCCATTGCCATTCGCAAAGGTACTCGCTCTACTCGTAATCCACATCCCATTTACAATTTTCTTAGCTACCATAGATTGTCTCCTTCCTATTTTTCTTTTGTTTCTTCTGTATCCACTATTACTATTCCAAAAAATGTGAAAGAGGCACTTGATCATCCTGGATGACAACAGACCATGATTGATGAAATGCAGGCTCTTGAGCACAATGGTACATGGAACTTAATTCCTCTTCCACATGGGAAGAAGAATGTTGGTTGTCGTTGGGTCTATGCCATTAAAGTTGGACCAAAAGGTGAAGTTGATTGACTCAAAGCTAGATTAGTAGCAAAAGGCTATACTCAGATCTATGGCCTTGACTACAGTGATACTTTTTCTCCTGTGGCCAAAATGACTACTTGTTCGACTTTTCTTTGCTATGGCGGCTATCCAGTCATTGGCCTCTTCATCGAGTTAGATATCAAGAATGCATTCTTGCATGGTGATCTTGAGGAGGAAATTTATATGGAACAACCTCCTGGTTTTGTTGCTCGGGGGAGTCTAGTTTGGTTTGTAAGTTACATCGTTCTCTCTATGGTCTCAAACAATCTCCACGTGCTTGGTTTGGAAAGTTTAGTCACATTGTTCAAAGTTTTGGATTAAAACGAAGTGAAGCGAGATCATTCTGTTTTTTATTATATTGCTTCAGGAAAATGTGTTTATTTAATTGTATATGTAGATGATATAGTCATTACGGGGATGATGTTGATAAAATTTCTTTGCTAAAGAAACATTTATGCAATCACTTCCAAACTAAAGATCTTGGTTGTCTCAAATACTTTCTAGGGATTGAAGTGGCTCAATCAAAAGAAGGCATCGTAGTCTCCCAAAGAAAGTATGCTTTAGATATCCTGAAAGAAACATGTATGATTGATTGTAGACCGATGCATGACCCTATGGATCCAAATTAGAAATTAATGGCGGATCAAGGTGAACCGCTCTACGATCCTGAGAGATATAGAAGACTTGTTGGGAAACTCATTTATCTCACCATTACCGGACACGACCTATCTTTTGCAGTTGGAGTTGTGAGTCAATTTATGCAAAATCCACGTCCTGATCATTGGAATGCTATCGTTCACATCCTAAAATATCTCAAAAAAGCTCCGGGACAAGGTACGTTGTATGAAGATAAAGGGGGTACCCAAATATCCAGGTATTGTGATGTCGATTAGGTTGGATCCCCTATGGACAGACGCTCCACTACGGGATATTGTGTTCTCATTGGAGGCAATATTATTTCTTGGAAAAGTAAGAAACAAAATGTAGTGGCTCGGTCTAGTGCTTGAAGTTGAATATAGAGCAATGACATCTCTCACTTGTGAACTAGTGTGGGTGAAACAATTCCTTCAAGAACTGAAATTTTGTGAGATCCAACAGATGAAGATGTATTGTGACAATCAAGCAGCTCTCCACATTGCCTCTAATCCGGTGTTCCATGAAAGGACCAAACATATAGAACTTGATTGTCATTTTATTCGTGAAAAATTGTTGTCTAAAGAAATTTGCACTGAATTTGTCTGGTCCAATGATCAACTTGCAGATGTGTTGACAAAGTCTTTAAGCGGACCTCGAATTGAATTTATTTGTTCCAAGCTTGGTACATACAATTTGTATGCTCCAGCTTGAGGGGGAGTGTTAGAATTATTATTAGTTAGTGGTTAGTGGTTAGTAGTTAGTAGTTGGTGGTTGGTGGTTGTTAGTAGTTGGTAGTTGTTGTTTTAAATGTTGTAATCCTATATATATATATGAGATCATAGAGTGGAGTAAGCATCCCACAAAATTAGAAATCTTCTTTTCATTCTCTTTACTCTCTTAACTGATTGCTTAATTTAATTTAGAATTTCATAATCGGTAGTTCTGGTACCAGTTGCTCCACATACATGCCATTAATCACTACGCTTTGTGCAGATTTAACCAGATGGACCCTTCCATCAGTGGACGCGGTGCTGAACCTGTATATCGTGATAAAGTAAAAGGTCAGAATTTTACTCCATTTTTTGTTGATTTTTCTGTTCAACAAATTTGATTAGATGTCTTTGTGATAAGATGAACTATTCAATCATGTGAATTTTGTAGGAGTGCGCATTTCAAAGGATGAATACTTGAAATCAAAACAGAAAGTAGAAGAAAAACCCAAGGTATTTTGTGTACGGCATCATTTTTTGTAGCACTGGTGTATCGTTTCTTGATGTAACTTTCGTGTGCTTCTGATGTGTAATTGGCTGCGTATCATATATGTGAATAAAGTATGATTCTGTCTGAAGATCCAGTTTTTGTTTGTACGCAATGAGTAGCCAAAAAGATATTTGCTTAGTTTGTTTGTTCACTTGGATATTTTTCTGGAGGACTGTTTGCAAGATGGTGTGAAGATTGACTTGGTAATGTGCAGTGTGTGTGTCTGTTAAATTTGTCAAGCATAATTGCATGGTTTATCTTGTAAGGCTTACATACAATGAGCATGAAAAGTACAGATTTGGAGGTTTGCCGACTTGCTAGAACAAGAGAAATGATAAGGATCAAATTGCATTTTTAAACAGTAGATTCTTTATTATAGCGTGACTGGGTGAGTTATCTAAAATTTCCTAATAAACTAGAGCAATAAATTATTTGTTCCATGCAAATATATGTTACATCATAAGGAAAAGAAACGGTCTCATTTATGTTGTCATTTGGTGCCTATCTGTAACTGAAGTTGAATGTTACTTCTAATGTGTTAAAATACTCCTTCTTTTTATCTGCTGTTCAACTTTCATAAAGCTGTTTTTTGATGTATTATCTAGAACGGTCGTAGGCTGTCCCCTGTTCCCTTTTTTTTTTTTTTTTTTTTCTCTTTTGTACGCTAACTTTTATATATGAATACAATATATACACAAGTGAGTAGCAAGAGACTCACTAAATTCTCTAAAATCTCAAGTATACGTTAGAACATTGATGCTATTAGTGTTTCCCATTGAAAGGTGGTAAGCTGAATTCTTGGCTATCTTCCTGATTTTTAGGAGATAGAAATAGAATGGGGCAAGGGCTTAGCTCAAAAGCGTGAAGCTGAAGCTAGGCTGAAGGAACTAGAACTTGAGAAGGAGAAGCCTTTTGCACGGACCAGGTATGGATAAAGTACATAGAAACATGGCGTCTAGACTGTTCTAAATTTGTTATGATAGTATTTTAGTAACCTATGTCGCACAAACAATATGGGGTATCAAAAATACCATATGTATATAGGATACAGGATACAGTTAGTCAGTGACAATTATTCTTGAAATTATAATGATAGAGTATGTGTACAATACAAATATAAATATGTGAAAAATATTTATAAAACATGAATATATAATTGCAAAAATAAAATTCCAAACCTATGAAACACTAATACATGCATCCCCCATAACAACATAAAATACAAGTTTGAAATTGATATGCTTGGATTCTCCATGAAAACTATCTGTGAATTATTGAAGCTCTTTTCTTAAAAAAATTGTTAAAATCTGATAAGTCTTGGATTCTTTGTCGGATATGGATAGTGGAATGATTTGACACACCAAGTATATTTTTTCATATTTGGAACAAATTATTCTTGATTCAGCTATTGGAATGACTGCAACTTAACAAGCAACTCTTATTGGCTCGAATCAAGTCTTCCCAGCTCAACTTAATGCACAATGATATTAATCCCCTGTAATCTGTGCAAGTTATTTATCTTCTTTGTTATAAATAGGGATTAAAGTGCTTCTCCACTCATTTGAATTTTTCTTAAACCTGGTAATCTTGTTAAACAATTTTGTTGTGAGCCAACTTATGTCTCTATAATATCTAGCCCAATTGCTTTGTTTTGGAAGTAATTCCTGCATCATATCTTGATTGTGATGTATTTTAATCACAAGAGGTGGACTTTTCACGCCTGTTTGAGCATAATTTGTATTTTAGGGAGTGATCAATGCAATATTACTTAGTTTTCTTAGTACCATACCGGCATTTAAATTTATTTATAAACAATTTTTTACTGAAAATCCCATTCAGAATAAGTTCTGGGTTGTCATTGACATGAATGTTAATGTTTAATTGTGAGTTGATGTCATTGAACAAGGTTCCTTTTTTTCTTCTCTTCTCCCTATATCTTATGCTGCATTGGCATTTGTTCTTTTCAGAGATGATCCTGAACTAGACAAAATGCTGAAGGAGAGATTAAGGTGGGGTGATCCTATGGCACATCTGGTTAAGGTAATGGAAAACATTTCATATTGCTTGACACGTAAGATGGAGGAATTTGATCTGTTCTGACATATTTGTTGTGTTGCAGAAAAAATATCCAGAGCCTGTTCTTCCAAACCTGGGGGAAAATGAGAAGATGAAGGAATCTGGTTTTGTAATCCCTCAGGATATTCCAAATCACAGCTGGTTAAAAAGAGGTTTAGATGCTGCTCCAAATCGGTATGGAATAAGGCCAGGAAGACACTGGGATGGTGTTGATCGTAGTAATGGTTGGTTTATATTCACCATACTTTTTGTACTTTGATTTTGCCTTCACTTTTGTCATGGAAAAATATCCTTAAATGATTGACTTATCTACTGCTGTTTGCAGGGTTCGAAAAGGATATGTTCAAGAGAACAAATGAGAGGCAAGCCAGAGATAGAGAAGCTTATCTTTGGTCTGTGTCTGATATGTGAAAAGTCGCAGTGCAACGACACAAAGGAGTATTCAGAATCTCATCGGGAGGCATGTTTGTAACTATATGGGTTTGAGGGATGTAATGCTGATGTCCATGGGAAGGATTCTTGGTTCCATCACTCTAAGGTGCCGTCTTTAATGAAAAATTTTATCTGCCCCGGTTATCCTCAGCATGTCATTAGTCTTAACTAATCAGACTTAATGGGAAAAACGAGGATAATTTGTTACACTTCTCAGTTTCATATCGAAGACAATAAATGGGAAAATCTCCAATTGCTTTGATTAGCCATGACTTGTTTGTGATATTAACAAGTTTTCAAGAGTTTACATAGTTTGTTCCATGTAATTTGGACTATTTTTTGCTCTTGTAGTGTATGAGTTCCGTTCTAACTTTTGCAGGATTAAGGGTTGTTAAAAAAGAACAAAATAAATGTTAATAAATTCATTTTTATGGTACTCCAAATTTGAGTATAGTTTCAGCACTATTGTATTTGGATTGCGGGAGTTAAAAAAAGAAGTTATTTGGATAGTAAAAAATGAGAAGAAAATAAACAAAATAATGATAGTTGATAAGAATGATTTAATTTATTATAAAAATTAAATAATAAAATAGATTAAAACATAATAAAAATATCTTTAATATCAATTAATAAGAATAAATATAAATTAAAGTTAAGAATTGATTTAATAAAAAATAATAATTATTAAAAATGATAAAAATAAAATAAAATTATATATAAATAAAAATAAACTTTATTATAAAGGCATAGTTATACTTTATAATAATTTATAAGTAAAATTAAATTTATAAAGATTAATATGAATGAATATGTAATTTTTTAAAAATTTAAAATGATTAAAATTAATAAAAATTATATAGAATTATTTGAAATTATATTTGCTAAAAATAAATATGATATTTTAATTAAAATAAAATAATAAACCTGATTTAAAAATGAAATTTTTTGTGAAATTTTATTATAATATTTTATTAATAAATATATGCTTTCACATTAATTTTTAAAATAATTTCCTAATTTTTTTAATTAGGTTGGCTTCTCACAATCTTTCCGTTAATCAATTTTATATTTCTCACTTTGCTTTTTTTTTTTTTTTTTTTTTTCAATCATACGAAACAAGCAGAAAGCATTCCACAAATTTTTTTTTTCTATGCACGTAAAGAGTATATATGTTAAAATAAACACAAACATATATAGTATATATATGTTGAAGCAATCATAAAATAAATAAAATGCTAAAGAAATTCAATTAAACAAGTAAAGAATTGTCATTGAATATTTCATATTAAATAAATTACATCATTTAAAAAAATTACCAAACAACTTTTAGCTTATAAAGAATTTTTAAAAATAACAAACGATTAATCACTTCTATTATTCTTTATTTTTTTAGTTTTGAACTAAAATAATCTGTAAGCGCGCCTTTGAAGTGAGAAAATGTCATTTGGTAATAATTTACAAATTTTCATAATATAAATATTGTAAATTAGTTTAATTAGATTAAATAAATAAAAAATGAGATCAAAACTTAAATCTAATTGAGATGAAAGTTTGACTATACTACTAAGTTAGTTTTTGTTTAAGAGAATTTCACTCTCCGGTACTCTCTTTTTTATTGATTTTCGGCTAAAACTAACAACAACTTTCATTTGAAATGAAGCATTTAAACCATAATTTATAACTTATTTATCCTGTTCCACTGTACAGATCTAAATTAGAAATCAGTATGTTATTTTTAAATAATTAAATTAAAACAAAATCAATAAAATCGATTATATTTTTTATTAAATTTATTTTAATAAAAAAAATTAAAATAAATTTTTTTAAAGTATCTTTTTATAAAAAATATAATATCTTTTTATTTTTTATTTTTTATTAATTACATTAATTTTAAATAATAGTTATTTTATTATATTTTTATCATATTTTAATAATTATTTATTTTTCTATTTTTAATATATTTTAAATTTATATTTTTTATTATAACTTATGATAATATATAATAATTTTTATTATTTTTTTATAAAAATATTATTATTAATAAATTTATTCCATATCTATTATATTATAAAAATATTATTTTATTATATTTAGTTAAATTACCATTAAACATTTAAACTTCGAACTTATGGTTTCGGTAAATTCGATATTAAAAACATTACTTTATTTATGTTAACTACCAAAACACATACAAGAATTAAAAGACATATTATAAAATTCACACTATAAAATAAATGAGCCATATTTTAATGGAATTAGAAAAAAATAATCACAAATAATGGTTACTGGAAAGATACTTATAATAAAAGTTAACATATTTATTATACATTATTATTTATCAATTTATATTCATAATATATATTTTTCTCTTATATTATTAGCATCAGATAAAATATATATATATATATATATATAATATATATATATATATATATATATATATATTACTTTTTTATTGTATAAGATTTAAAAATACTAATAATTTTTATTGCAATATAAAATTGCAATTTGGACTGGTAATTATATTTAGGTGGTTTTATTTATTTTTTATTTAAAGAAAGACATTTATTTCAAAATAAAATATATATTTTTAATAATTAAGCAATCTTGCCTATAATTGGTTGTATAAAATATAAATGACATCTACAAACCCTTATTAGCATCGTTCTCATTCCAGTTACCTCTGTTTACCTTTCTTCTCTCTTTCTTCCAAAGGGTTCACCTTTCAATTTCTTTAACTGATGGGGTGTTTTTAGGTTGAACGTTGCGAGGGTTTGACGGTGAGGCTGCACTTCTCAACCTCTCAGCCTGAGTATGCAAAGGTACGGATCTTATTTCTGATTACAAGTTTGGATCCCAATTTCTCATTCTGTTTTGGAGCACTTGGTTGCTCTCATCTTCACATTTCATAAAACTAATAATAATTGCATTAGGGTTGTGGAAAGTAACCTTCGATGAAACGAGTTCGAATTCAGCGTGATGAAGTCCTCCGTGGTTATTTAATCATTTATTTTGGTTGTATGTGTTTTAGGGAAAAAGGGCCCCAAATTATTGATCTGTCTATGCAATATTCAACTGGCCTTAATTCTAAAATATAATCCAAAACAATGAGAGTTTGTATGTGATGGGAATCTTGGTAGCTTGGTTGTGTTCTGAGCATGTGAAAGTGTAGCAGATACGGGTGTACATAGCTAGTTGGGTATTATTAACTATTTATTGTTAATTGAAAAAGACTCGACGACATGTCAGGTACAGATTGGCTGGACCTTGGACACGAGTGGTCTTGGATTATACAATAATTATGCTTTGTGTAATGTCTTTTATAAATGTGGATTCTGGTTCTCTTCAGATTTATCTGGATTTGTAAGGAGTCGCATTGTAGGTATGCATACCGTAAGCTCTGTTTGAATTTGCTTGTGCATAAGCTAATTTGGAAGAGTTTTTCCATAAGCTCTTCCAGGGAAAAAAATAAGAAGAAAAAAATGAATTTGACTTCTCCATTAGCTTATACACTTTTAAAATAAAAAAGTGGAGAAGTTATATACGAGAACTTCTACAAATTATTATGCATAATCTACTTTTAGCTTGTGGAAAAACTTATTTCAATTTTTCTTATTTTTCTCTCCTAGAAAGAGCTTATGGAAAAGTTCGTCAAACAGACCTTATGTCGAAGTTCTCTCATGATAACTTATCTAAATTTTTTTTTTAACTTGGGTACAAGTTAATTTTAACTTATGAGCGAAGTTTATTTCTTTTCTTCTTATTTTATCATTCCATTTGTACTTATTGCAAAGTTCATCAAAATGAGGCATTATTGTTGGGTTTCACCCTATACACATTTTGAATATCTTTGGGGTTTTTTCTTGTTATGATTTATTTTCATATTCCATATTTATTGGGTGATCATAGTCAGCTTACATATTCTTTACCATGAGGATTGTATTATTTTATTGCAGTTTGAATTACGTTAATGAAACGTTTACATGTTTTTTCTCCATACATTGTTGAATCTTGAATTAAATATTCTATCTTGTCCTTTAATATTCAACTTGTCTGTTGAATCTTGAATTAAATAATCCATACATTGTTACGAAAGAGGGTTTTTCTAATTTTGTCTAGTTTAAGCTCTATAGAGCACAATATAAGCAAATCCAAAAATGCTGGTGTTTTTATTGTGCTATTTTATTTGGAAGAGTCTGATATGATTGGATTGGTCTTGAACATGATACTCCTTGTGGTGTCCATGATTTTTTTTTTCTGCTGTTAACTTGTCTTACATTAATGTATTTCAGGTTGTGTCGTTAGAGAGAGACCATTATCAGCAAGGCTATAATAACACTATTACTTGCCAAATGGCACTGGTTATAATGTGTGGGCAGCCATGCAGTGGTAAGTCCAAAGCTGCGCTCTGTCTGGTTGAATCTTACAAAGAATCAGAATCAAAACATCAAGTGAGAATCATAGACGAAGCTTGTTTTCATCTTGATCGGAACCAAAGCTATGCAAATATGCCTTCAGAGAAAAATTTAAGAGGGGTGCTTAGGTCAGAAGTAGATAGGTCTGTGTCCAAAGATAGCATCGTCATTATAGATTCTTTGAATAACATCAAGGGTTACAGATACGAGCTGTGGTGCTTGGCTCGAGCTTCTGGAATCAGATACTGTGTGGTTTACTGTGACGTTGAAGAAACATTTTGTAGGAAATGGAATGAAGAGCGCAGGGAGAAAGGAGAAGCCAGTTATGATGATTCAATTTTTGAAGATTTGGTGAGAAGGTTTGAGAAACCAGACAGAAGAAACAGGTGGGATTCTCCATTGTTTGAATTATGGCCACACAGAGAAGGGACAGAGAAATCTTCTCCTGCCATTATAGATGCTGTCTCCTATCTAACCAAAAAGGTGGACACCAAAACCAGGGATGTTAAGATTCTGCAACCAACTATTGCAACTCAAACCACACGTTTTTCTGATGCAAATTCTCTCTATGAATTGGACAAAGCAACACAAGAGGTGACAAATGCTATAGTAGAAATACAATCTCAAGCTCTTGGAGGACCACTTAATGGCGTTTCCATCGGAAAAGACTTGCCTGTAATCAATATTTCAAGGTCAGTTGGGTTGCCAGAGCTTCGGCGGATGCGACGGACCTTCATAAAGTTGACAGGGCAAACAAGTCTAAGTGGGCGACCACCCCCTTCAGATGCTGACAGTGCAAAAAGAATGTTCATTGACTACTTGAACAGGGAACTAGGAACATCCTGAAGAACAATATATAAGATAGTCTTTTGCTATTAAGATTTTGTGTGCTAAAAGATGCCATGTTTGTATGATGCTTAGATCCGGAACTGTGTTTGATCATTATATTATTGAATAAACCACCTTTCTGAATTCCCTCCAGCTTTTTGTACCATCATTTATGTTATTTTTTTCAGGCTAGTAGTAATAATGAACTCATGCATTTATGAATTAAGAAAATGTTTTTTGCAAATTTACAAATAATTATAAAAATGACATTTTATTCACTTTTTTTGATTTCTAACTAACGTTCGAAATAATTATAAAATAAAAACAATTATATATTTTGATTATTTGTAAAAATTGATCCTTTTTACTTCTTTCCGTTAAACAAAACACATCCCAACCTTGGGTATTATTGAGTTATGATATCCTATGGTTGCATTGGAGCAAAAAACTGAAAAGGATACTTGCTCTGCAACTCATGTTATTATTATCTTTGGACGAGAAATTTACGAAAAAGTATTTTCAAAATAAATTCAAAATATCATAATTAAAATGACTTGTTTGTATATAGAATTCTAAGCCTTGAAAAGATGGTCCAAAGCATATTGTCAATAAAATTTAGATTAGAGACTCATACGTATATTTTTGTGCAATTTGTTTTACATGATTATATTCATGCCTTCCAATTTTATTTAACAAACAACTTTTGAAGGAGATAATGGAATGCTGCAGTTCATGGTGATGCTCCAGATCAACCACATAAACATTGATAATTTGAATAAGAAACATTGGTTGATTGCACTTGTGTGTGCTTGTGACCCTAAAAGCTATAGACAGTGCTCACACAAGCGTTCATTACACATATAAATGAGCATGAAAAAGCTACAGATCACTTGAGATTATATTACTCAGATCAATGGTTAAGAGAAACAATCATCATTCTATATGTACAACAAACCTCTGAACTGTCCAAGCAAATGCACAATCCAGATGGGGGTGATGATAAACACAGGTTAGTGGTCAAACAGGGCCAGAACAATTGCATGTGCTGCCTTGAACCCATCCCCTTCAACCATATTTTTTAAAAACAATGCTCCTTCAGCATCCATCACAAGGGCAAGCACAAAGTGGCATCTTCATGCCATTCATGCATCAAATATAAATAACAAAACCGCAAAAGCACTGGCCAAGGGGTTTGTATACTCCGAACCAACAAAAAATATTGTTAATCAACTATCATCATCCACTGCACCAACATATGTCAGGTCTGTCCGTCTCACCCTTACAGCTCCTTTAAGCCAGCTAGCGGCTCGTATGTTAACATGATCACCACTTCCTATGCCAGCAGTATTACCTGCCAACGGGAATGAGCCAGCACCATCTTCCAAAAGCGTCCATGGATCAATTTCCAAATCATTGTCCTGTCGTTTTAACTTCCCTGGTGCATTAAGAGCAACTCTTGATAGAGCTGGATTTCTCTGGGGGATAGTTGAAGTACTGGTGTTAACCCCAGGATTTGTAATGCCGGGCTGAAGGCACGCAAGAGCAGAATTTGAAACAGATGGCGGCTGGCAGGATAGAGAGCACCGCATAGAGGGGACGAGTACGGGCATTGCAGCTTGGATACGCCACCGGACAGTGTCTGGTAGTTGCATACGATCCAAGTCATTCTGCATCAGACAATCAGAGTGTTAGATAAGCAATGTTATGAAGAGACTGAATTAACATTTCCAGATTACCAAGTATGTTAGAGAAACATTTCCAAATTGTAGAACTTTATGAAACACGGATATGGCTAAAAATATCTGATATGACACTAGTACAACATGGGATACAACATTTCTTGTCATAGAATACACAAACAATGGTTGGGATGAGTTCGGGTGAAAAGAAAAACAAAACTTTAGTTCCGATATTAGTCATTGAAGATGCTACAAACCTACAGTTTATCAAATTTGTTGGTAAAAAGCCTCAAAATGAAAAAAATAAATAGATAAACAATATATATTACACAACACAAGATAACAATTTTCAATTACAATGGAAGAGCATAATACCATAGGGTGGTTTGTATCTAACACTGGCAGGGTATAGAAATTTTACAGTATCAGTCCTTCCTATAGGGAGTAGCAAGACAGAAGATATTGTCATACAATATGTTCATTATTACACATTTCTGGTATAGCCATGACGCCATTTTATCAAATTAAAAAAGAACTTACATGTAGCATATAAAAATCTGTAAGCAACAATTAATTGAATTAAGACCTAATATGCTGTAGAACTTTTAAGCACAAAATGAATACACGTGAACATCGTATTTAAGACCTTTCAAACACTTCAAAAGAATATTGTGTTGACTATTTCATCTGCTCCAACCAGTTTCTAAAGGCAAGTTATACTAGTGGTAAAAAGGCTGAAAAACCACGTAACATGTAAGTGATAGGAACAAAAATGATACACATTCACAGGCTAAATGATCAAACCTGCAAAGTATCCAACAATTCTCGATCAATTGTAGGTTCATTGCTCGTCTTTGAAACAGGCTTTGGCCTGAGCCAACTTGGAGGATAACTACTTAGCAAACCATGCAAGACCAACAGAAAACGATCAAACAGACTCCGAGAAGAAGAATCCACAAAAGCAGCAGAAGCAACTTCAGAAGATGACTCAGCCTCCCTCATCGGCAGAGATGGCACAGCATTCACTGAACTGTCTGCATCCTGATGCACAACCTGACTACCAAGGAGACGAAAAATAACAGTGGCAAGAAATTGTCTCATGCTCCGCACAGATGGCTCCCTGCAAAGTTCAACATATGGAACTCAAAAATCACTTCTAACATTCTAGAATGTACTAGATCCATCGCATGCACACATAATAGTAAAAACACAGTCAATGCGTTCATGGCACAAATATCCATATTTTCACTTCTAAACAGTCCATAATTAACTGATTTAATTGATTTCCAACACTCAAAATTTAAGCTCAAATCCATTGTTACAAGTAGAAACTGTCACTATTAGTGCCAGAAGCTAGGACCTATGATATTATATTGCATAATAGAGAACCATATTTATTATTAAATCTGAAAATTATATTTCAATTTGCTCTGTATTGTTTTTGCAATTTCAAGAATCAAAACGACAAGACTTTTTTTCACATGATAAGTGCAGCAAGAATCCTCTAATGAAAATTTATTAAACATTGCAATATCCAGTCTTTCTCACCTGTCAGTGCAAAGAATAGGAAGAAATCTCAGGAGCAACTGCAACCGTAATGACATAGAAGCTCGTAGGGCTGCAGGAGATGGTGGAGAAGAATCTGCTGCCACTGTTGGTCGTCTAGCTAAGGAAGTGGTTCCAGTTCTCATATTTTTGCGGTTATTTACTTTATTTGGTTGACCTTCAACTCCAGTAGTAGCACTTCCCACTGGTTTACTTCCACCTGTAACAGCAGTTATTTGTGTCTCAATATAACTCAATTGTTTCACCAAATCACTAGCAAAGGAATTGCGGGCTTCTTCAGAGCTTTGATCGATGCAAGGAAGAAGCAACTCAATAAAGGCCCTCTCAATCACTTGCTGCTGCCACCTTTTCAAATCTGCTCCCTCTTCAACAACTTCTCCTTCTTCAAGAGAGGTGCTGTCTAACTTTTTGTTATCCCCTTCGCTATTCAATGGATCAGTAGATGGACTACACCAACCCCATGGCTCCCAAAATTGGGTCTTAACAGAAAGTTTCTTGTTCACAGCAATGTTGTGTAACCTTTGTCTAATGGTCTTCCGACCAAAGAGGACATCTTGGCCCCCAAGGAACCATTTAGCTTGCAACAACATAGAATCCTCTAGTGACCTACCAAAGAGATGAATCAACTCTGAAAAAAGGGGTGCAGCATCAGGTCTAACCAGTAACCTTGTGAGAAGTATTTGAATAAAATTGTTCTCATTCTCAGAAGCAGTAGCAGCCTTCTCAGGACTAGGTGAGGACAACTTTATAGCATCCCCCAAGGGCACATCATGATTCTCCACTTTTTCGATGAGAGCTTGTTCATTTAAAAGTAACCTGACGACAACCCACTGCCAGTGAAATTTGGCAGGCTGCAAGGTATCCAAAACATGCACAAGCATATCCTGAAGCTTAGACTCATTATCTGTGAATTTAATTTTAGACTCACCAGGTCCAGAAATTCGGCTCCCATCATCCTTTGCAAAAATAGATTGTGGCATCTTACAATCAATCATGGCATTAAGGAAAAGCCTGGAGCGTAGAGGAACAAATGCTGTGGGTTTTAAATGCATGTCAGAACCATTAAACTCTAATAGGTTTGCAAATTCAGAATCACTATTATCTGCAGCCATAAGATCATAAAGACCCTGACAGTCTCTAAAACATACATCTCGAAATGGCAAATGCTTTATTGCTTCAGTTATGGCCACTGTAAGAGACTGATAAATTTGATTCATGTCTTCACGAACTGTAGCATTTAGAATGAAAGGCTTCCACCTAACAAAGGCAAATATTGAATAGGCAGGTGGAAAGACCAAATTTAAAGGAAGCATACGTTGCATCCTTGAGAGAGCCATAATAAATGGTTCGCCCAAGAGTTCCACCACTAACCCTTCACAGATTGTTCTGCAATTTCCAACAAGCAATCTAAACCAATGGACATGAACTTCAATTGAACTGTCCACCTTAAATGCCATAACTGAACGGGCATGTCCATTTGAATTGGATCTAGTGCTCCTTAGAAATTGTACCGCATCAAGCCCCTCCTTCAATCTGAGAACTGTTACCATTCTTTCCAGGCTGGTAACACCATATATAATTGCACCAACAAGAAATGCAGAAACAGCAGCAACTTTTGTTGTTTTTGCTACCCCGACTTTATTAGAGTTGCTTCCCATATCATTTGAAATATTGTTACTAGAATCATGGGCTTCAGGAAACGTTTGAAACTGAGCACGAGATGCTTTACTAGGAGTAAAAACACCAGCAAGAGCAGTAGAAGCTTCAGTGGCAAGAGCAATATCAAATACATGGCTTTGTCGATCTCCCAGGGCTTCCTTAAGCAGGCAGAGACAGGTTATATGCATTCGCAGAATGCACCTGGCATAGTTCAATAAATTTGAAGCTGATGTTGTATTTGAATGATTGTTGCCAGATGAAAAATCAGGCATTTTTGCTAAAGTTGGACCAACACTGCCAACAATTGCAGAAACAGCAGAAGAGACTAAAGAGGGATCTCCTTCTTGAGCAGCACCACCGGTCTGCCTTATGCAATCAATCAGACCCATAACTATTTGTTGAGCAATTTGATATCCATTATCCCATTTTTCTACAGGAGGAAGAACTTTTAGTGTACCAGCAGCAAAGAGCTTTCTATCTTTTCCAAAAAGATAGTGGAATGCTTCTTCAACATTACGCTGCACTACCTCCCTCATGCCTGCTCCTACTCTGGATGGTAACCGGCCACCACTGATCTTCTGACGGAAAAAATCATCATGGTCTTCTACTCCGGCTGGAACTCCTAGGGGCAGCCCTAACTCTCCATTCACTGACCTACCTGAGTCAAGTTCAGAGGAAAGTCTTGCATCACATGTAGTCTTAAAAGTTTTCTCCCACTCAATGACACTAGCCACATTGCTGTATTTTCTCAACAAATACCGAGCAAAAGCAAGGGCCCCTGATCCTGAAACTCTTCCATTAGATGCAATAATAGTGGCAGCACGATGCATTGCAGAAGACAAGGTTTCTGGAATAAGGTCTGCTGCAACAAGAATGTTCTCATACCTACATCAAATACATTGCAGAGGACAAGTTTGACTAAATCTCAATCCAAAAATCCATAAAGAATTGTCCCTCACAAGCATAAAGAACAAAAGGAAAACATTCCAAAAATGAATAAAGAACAGTGCAAACACAAGCATATAGAACAAAAGGAAAACACTACCCATGAAGCACTGGTCCAATTACAAAAATACAAATATTTCAGGGGGAGGATAAAATATAAAATTGTAGAAACCTCACTGAAGGTTCAGTAAGCTTGAAGTAAGTATAATTATGTTAAAACACTGCCCCCTTATAGCAAGAACAACTATTTATGTTGTTATTGTGATCAAAGGATTTTATTAAGGCAATCCTAAGTAAGTGAGAGCATTGCAGATTTAATCAATAGTGAACTGATTAAAGGTGAGAAGAAAAGGGACCACAAGAAGAAACAGAAACAGATATAGCAGCTTACTACCAGGTGCTTAATAAAGCATCCTATTTATATCACTTATTTAAAAGGAGCTAGCCATTGAAAAGAAAGCAAACTTCACAATAATTAGATGGAAATGCTGGATGAGGAGAAAACCAATTTTTTATGTTTTCCCAGAGACAGCAAACAAAAACTATAAAAAACATAATTGATTGCAGAGCTGCAAACCTTCTGAGTGATGAAAGCAGAAAAGCCTCTCCCACGTCACAAACTTGGTTTTCAACATTCCTTGCTAGCATCAGCACATTCCTCCCAGAATGAATTGTAGAATTGGGGCTATTAAGAACCCTCGGCAACAACCAAAGGAGGAACTTGACAGCTGATACCAAATCATGGGAGATATCCATCAAATAAAGTATTGCAGAAAGTTCATCCTCTCCCAGTTTCCACCTTGCTGAGGATCTATCATCTGCAACAGTGCCAAACTGACCAACTTTAACAGCATTTTTCTCCATCTCTTCAATTATCTGCCTAACAACAGTCAACAGCCAAACGGCTATTGCCCTTTTCTCAACAAAACGTAGCTGCTTTAGTGCTTTTCCAATTGTAACTATATCCCCAAAATGACTTGTTTGGATGCTATCCACAGACCTCTGCCCATCTACATCCATAACAGTTCTATGGTGAGGGCAGCTTACCTTGCTTCCACACACATGACTAGTTGACGCCCCTTGGCTACCCTCAATTCTAGAAGCTGCCAGTTGAGCAAGACTCTGAGTTTTACGATTCTTCTGCCGACTCTTGGTGACCTGCTTGGTTGACTTTTGTGGTTGATCAACTTTGAGAGGCTCTGGGGATTTCATTCCTTTTTTCACCCACCATGTATCATCATCATCAGATTGAACTGGGGAATGCCCTTGTACAAATGAGCTTCTTTCCTCACTTAACTTTTGTCTCTTCGTTCTGCTACATTCTTCACATCCAGGTGTACCCTCCACTGGATCTACTTTACTGTACTGAGACCCAATAGGTCTTCTAACACTGCCTTCAGATTCATCACAACCTGTAGCACTCAAATTAGATGAACAATTAGGTAGCTGTAACAATACTGAGATAGCTGTTCTTAGTTCTTCAACGTTAGCATTATCTTTTGCATTTTTTGTGGTAGAAATAACATTTCTCTGATCAATTGTCATTGCAGAAGCTTCATCCTTTATTGAGGCAGGATATCTTTTTCTCTTCAGAACAGATAATTTGGTACCAGTGGCAACATCACGGGACTCACTCAGAGGACCCCAAAGTATGAGGCGACGTTCATTCAAGTAAATTTGCAAGGCTTCTTTGAGCTGCACCCCTTCAATCCCTGATTCTTCCAAAACATCATGGATAAAGCATCCAGGTAGCTGCTTTAAGATGCGATAGTGTCTCTTCCGTCGCTCCATGTCAACCACATTTACATTCACATCCATGATCCCACTGACTATCAGCTGGCGTACATATGCCAAGGGAAAAAAGATGTCTGCACGTATGAGTTCTACCATAAATAAATGCAGGCGCTTGGAACCTTCCCCTTTATGTACCACATGCTGATCAATCCAACAAACGATAATATCATGTAGAGGACCTGGGCTTTCAAATATAACTGAAGAACCTGTACTCTTTGAACTAGATTTCAATCGGGATACATTGCCCATATAATTCCAATTATGATGCTGACTCGAATTCTTTGCAAATTGACTGGCTCTGCGATATTCATTTGTTTGTTTTAGTGAAATCTTCAGATCCCTAATCTTCATCTTTAAAAGCCTAACTGCTATATGCACTTGAGAAAGATCTTTCCTACCAGTAAACTTAATGTCATGAGGAGGGTTACCACGAAAATCCCTAAAATCACATGTTGCCCACTCACAAAGGAAAAACACAGAATATATAAGGGGTGTATTTACGGTCCCAAACCATTTCAAAGATAACCTTAAGCAAGGGCTAATTTTTGCAACCCAGCCTTCAGATACAGTGCCACCACAAAGATCTTCAAAAAGAAATTTATATGCATCGTGCAAATCACCCAGCACAAGAGCTTTATCCAAAGCTTTTGCAACTTTAGCCACACAATGACCTGGATAGCCTGGGATTGAGGCCTTTGCAAGATCTTCTGCTTGTTTCTGAATGTATGAAATAATGTGACCAAAATCATCTGAACTATTTTTGACCTTCCCTGCAGCTTCAGTTGATTTTAGTACAAAATTCCCATCATTCATTGTATGTGAAATAACAGAGGATGGTAACGGAAAGAAATCCAAAGCTACAAACGTATCTGGCACCACAAGTATTAAATACCGAAGCATCTCAATCACAGCATAAGTTGTGTATGCCCTCCTGGAATTATCTACTAGATCTGAACCACCTGGAGCAGGATCACGAATGACACGAAGAGCTAGTCCAGTGAGGGTGCGCACATAAGTTTGAGATAGAACAATAGTTTCTAAAAAACCATATATAATAGGCAATAACAGCTGCCAAACCTCAAGCAGATCTTTGTCCTGAAAGGAACATAAATGTGAAAAATTAACACATGAAGGGTGAAATAAGTGGAAGGTATATACAGAACACTTTTAGTTTTATTAGAACATTGTACTCATTAAATGCGAATGATGTAAGAAGGTAAATACCTGTAGTTGATTAAACACCCAATCAATGACAAGGGAAGGATGAAGAAGCCCTTCAGCATGATGCCATTGCAGAAGCCGTACAATATACCACCACCTAAAATGTAAGGATGGCCCTTCACCATCAGAAACAGATAGTAATGGATCAATTTTGTTCTGCACTGAACCAGTATAAGGCATTTGTGGTGATCGCTCTCGGCCATGAGAAGCTGAACGGGAAACATTCTTTGACAAGAATTCATCCAGAAGGGCTTGCAAGTAATTGATAACATCTTTGGTCCAAATATCAGAGCGAGACAGTTGAATCTTGTCAGCAGTCCCAGAAGAAATACCAACAGAACCAGGTTGAACCTAAAAAACTCAATCATAATCAACATATATTAAAAACTATAGAGGAATTAAGCATAATAGGTAACTATAACAATACTAAAGCATCCCACCTGATTGAGGTAAGTAACCTTGATAAACCAGGTGGCCCTAAGCAATGGAACGTTATTCCTGATAAGAACCTCTAAAAGTGATGCCCTTTTATAACCTTGAGGAACATGATCAGCCAAAGAGCGTAATCGTTTGTGCTGCTGAGATAAACCCTATAAAAAATTTAACAGAGTTACTGATATATAGTGAAACACCAAGTAATTTTCAAAAAATAATATTCAAGGATTTTACAGGCCTATCATCTTTAACAACAAAAACCTAAGGAATTGATCATATTAACTTATATAACAATTCTTCTAAATTGAAAAAAAAAAAAATATCATGAATAGCTAAGCCTGTCCAGGACCATTCAGCATGTAACCATTCCAGATCCCTCCATAATCACACCATGCAGCCAGTCACATCAAGACTACAACCATCTACTACTATGTTACTAACCATTGAAAACCCAGTGCTTCCTTCATATAATTTGGCAAAAATGTTTTAGAAAAAAATGTGAGGTGCCACAGCTGGTATAAAATAAGTTTTAAAAAGAGATCAGTATGAGTAGGACTATCACAGAGTATACCTCAATCCATTTCTTCTGGTAGTCCTCACCACAAGGTCTTAGTTCAGGAAAAATGCCAGACCTGGCAAGTTGTGATCCTGAAAGAGCTACACCATACACTTGACCAGCCTGTCAAATCAAACACTCATGTAGATCAAACACCTTCATAGCAAAGTGAGATAAGTATAGTGCATTAATTTCAAAATAATCTAGAAGAAAGCACTACAATTATAAAAACTGTAGAAGTAATAAATATATCACAAAACAGATTAAAGATCATCACCTTTCTCTTCTGAGCACGAGATTCATTGATGGCCCTCAGTCGTTTCCTAATAGCCTGGATTTTAGATGAAAAAATACAAGTTAACCAATAAACACATAGGCTTACAATGAAAACCAAAAAAATGGAGATGTGCAGTAAATTCAGAGCTCAGACATATAAACAAAAATAAAGTGGGCATGAATATCTCAAAAAAGACATGAGACAGAATAGTCACCTCTTTGCAATTAAGAACAACATTCTTGTTAAAATGTGGAACCTGGGTCAGTGAAATTTCTCTGGCTTCCTGACAGACACAGGAGCAAGGCAATGTCAGATAATAGCAGACACCAGACAAAAGGGAATGCTTGAACAGTTGAAACTAATCTATTTTTATGAAAGCACAATTTTATATTTTAGTGACTCATCAAGGAGAACTATGATTCTCAAGAATGTATGTGTGGCCATATCATTATTTCACTTGCCTCAAACAATAGAAGAACCATAAGAAATTTAAAGGGAAATTTGTCGTATCAAATTCATAGACACTAACAAAGATACAAGCAGATAAGCCAAATGTATTATGCAACAGGATCATCAGACCAACATAAGAGCTATTAGAAGTACCTATTACAACATTAGTAATTATACTACCCACCAAAACATAATAACCCATTTTGACAAATACCAGACTCCTTTTCTCATGCAGTTTTATAGTTATTCCCCATAGCTGGAGTCATAGTGTGAAAGCCAAACTATTTATCAATTAATTGGAGGAAAAAGTGCTGAAATGAAGAGCATCAAAACTTGAATATGTTAAGATCACTGCAGCATTAAAAAAAAAAAAAAACTACAATAGAAAAGCAAAGGAAAAGAAGAAAAGTGTTAGGTATGTAGTAACCTAATTCCATTTAAAAAGAATGAATTTGATTAAAAGAAAAGAAAAGAAAAATATCAACAAAATGCCAGATTACAGTTCCAAACACTCAATTATCTGTGACAAGTGCTATCAAAAAGATTTACATAAAAAAGTACAAGGGTTAAGCATAAAATATTCAAACCTTAAAAAAATAAAAATAAAATGGATAATTTGAGAAGTAAAACCCCATTCACTCATTAGCTAAGTTTCTACTCTATAATATCTGATTTGGTATAAATACAAAAGTAAAATTTAATGCATGTTTTGTTTAGCTTTTGAAGAAATAATTTCTTTTTAGTCAGCTTAATGATAGATTTTTTTTTTAAAAAAAAAGGAAGAAAAACAAAAAGAATTACTTCTCAAAATTTAAGCATTCCCAAACAAGCACCTAATGGCCTACCTCGAGTCCCTCAACTGTGTCCCTGTATCCAGATTGCAAATATTCTCTGGTCAGGGTCTCCTCAGGACAATTTGGTGTTTGGGGATGAAAGTCTGGTGCCCCAAGCCTGAGAAATAATAGCATTTACATGTAAATATACAAGTTAATAGAATGTAGAAGCTTAATGCCTAAGAGTAGAATTACAACCTCACGAGAAAGAGTAGTAAGAAACCTAAAGGGGAGAGAGAGAGAATAAAACTACAAAGGTTTATTGAATCTCGGTGAAAAAAAGAAAGAGATTTCTCCCTTCAAGGGTTTCCCTTTTATGATTAACTATTGAGTCACTGCTCCATTTACCAAAATAATAAATATAATCCAATTCAACTTTAACCACCCATGACCCAACCATTTAACTATTCTAACTAATTAAAGGGTATGTCTGGTTTAAAATTGAAAGTGTTCAAACGTCCATTCAATCCAACCCAACTAGAGACATCCTCTTCAGCTAAGATTCTTTGAAAGTTGTTAAATGAAACCTGTAAACCAAAAATCACTTGCTCTCTAGCCCTATCAATACCATCCTCTTGATGCTCAACCTTGCAACAGCAAGGTTGAAATAGCGCAACTGATTTTGACAACAATCTTACCCTCTATTCCCCTACCTACCAGGTACTGCAACCAATTATTAGTGCTCACAAGGAAGGTTAAATATCATGAACACAGTATAGAAGGAACTTCAAGGAATAATTACCAGAGTCAAAGGATATAGACAGGGAGATATGCAGAACACAGACATCAACCACTGTAAAACTTTCAAGTACTCCAAAGAGGTCTACTACCTCAACTAAACCATCAGCCTACTTTTCTCTCGCAACTTTAATGTGAACATCAGTTGACCATAGGGAAACATCTTCCCTTTTACCTTCTCCTTAAACACAGTAGGACAGTTTCTCCAAGTGTGTGCCCCACTTCCATTGGGCTTAGTGGTAGACTGTATTGTTGCTTTAATTCCTTCCTGCACATTCTTTTTCCTGAATAATTGTTTGAGCTAGAGTGATTGTCAAAGAAGCTCATCAATGGTGTTGACTACAGCAAATCAAGTAAACGCAGTGGTTCCACGACTAATCCTGCAATTCACACAACACCTCCACCAAGATGATACCTGAAGTACACCTCTGGAGCAACAGACTGGGGTCCAAAAATGAGTTTGGAGGCACAGAACTGCATCTGAACTATTTGCCACCAAACTTCACTCCTGGATCCGCCTAAGAAATACCCTAGGAATTGCTTGTCAGGAATCTCCAATACCTGCACCACCAAGACTTCAAAATATGCGTCTACACTCATCAAAAGATACTGTTTGCCACAACAAACAACCTGCCCATGTTTCTTCCTACAAACCTTAGTATCAACATTAACTTCAACCCTTCCCAGGTTAACTCTGGCATCTTACTCCTCCAGAATTGAAACTAGTGCATTGCACACCTTTCATGCAGACAAGTGCAAGTAGCACCTTTATTGTCAGCTTACTCTGGTTCAACTCATACGCTTCTCTCCCTGAGCCCTGAGCAATCCATCCTCCTCAAGTCACTAGCACATAAGCAATCAGAGAAACTAATTGCACACTGCTCAGTTATCATCCTCTTCAAAAACTCAACCAAATTACCAGAGCTTGTATACTCAGTTGAATGTCATGCCCAAGAAATGTCATAACAAACAACCTGCTCATGTTTCTTCCTACTAACCATAGTATCAACATTACTGTCAACCCTTCCCAGGTTAAGTCTGGTATCTTACTCCAGAATTGAAACTAGTGCATTGCACACCTTTCATGCTGAGAAATGCAAATAGTTGTTCGTTGTCAGCTTCCTCTGGTTCACCTCATACTCCTCTCTATCTACCTGAGCAATCCATCCCCCTTAAATCATTGGCACATGAGCAACCAGAGAATGTAATAGCACACTGCTCGGTCATCATCCTCTTCAAGAACTCAACCAAAGTGTCCACAGCCATGAGAAATAAATGATAAATCTAGACACACTACAGAAAGAGGACAAATCCTCTATGGAATTTCATGAGGAAAAAAAAGAGCATTCTCCTTCCAAGAGTCTCCCCTTCTACAGCAAAGCCAATGCCCTATTTCTAAATCTAAAACCCAAATCCCCGTTTTCTATCCCTCTCCCCCACTATTTAAGCCAAGTCCCAACTCTTAACTTATTGCCCAACCATTTAACTATTCTAACTCACGACTCTTAGTCTCTTAGCCATAAAAGCATAAGCAGATAACAAGGCAGGGAAGGGGAAAACATCGTACATGCAATTTTTGGTATTAAAACAGCATATGAAAATATGGCCCCAATAGAGCCTGGTACTGGTAGTTAATCATAGTTGATCATGAAATAAGTGGGCAATAATTTTAAAATCATTGAGGGAAATACCTAGAGTTCAAGGGTTCTTTATCACACTTCAACTTATATGGATTTAACGGTGGTTGTCGCCTGCAAAACATAACACCATTGTGTTCAATATTAACATCATCAGATTTAGCATACTAAGAAAAAAATATGCCACTTTATTACTGAACATATATATTATGAACTCAATAAGCAAAGAAAATTTAGCAATACAGGTCAAACAAATATAAACAATGTTCCAAAGACAAGAAAATATTAATTTAAAATAACATTATTAACCAAATGGTTGGAACGAAACAAAACTCCTAACCCATGCTCTACAGTTAAGCTCTTTATTTAAACACTACACAACCCTAGTTACAATGGCAAGATTTGCACTGAACTTTTAGAACAAATCCACAGCATCTATCAATTTTTTTAAATAAAAATACAATCCAATAACACAGTACTCTTCACGTTCAAATGCTTAACAATATTTTGAAACTATGGTATAGTAGAATCACCCCCTCAAAAGAAAAAGTCCAACTTTAAAATGATAAGAAAAAGAGATATTTTATCTTGATAAAAAATAAAACAAAAAAGGTTGTGGTGAAAATTTATACCAACTTCTCCTAATTTTTTTATGAGAATTATCTGATCACTCCATATTTGGAAGTTCAAACACTACTTTAATGTAGTTTTGGTGGACCAAGGAAAGGTTTTCTATGTCTCTAATAGAATATACTATTTTTTTTGTTGAAAGTCCCACATCGCCTACCTCATGTCATTTGGTATGGTTTAAATACATGTTAGGCTACTTCACATATTGCCAATTGGTTTTATGTTGGAACCTTAACATTGTATCAGAGCCAAAGCCTAACATCTTTCCGGTTATTGTCATGGGCCAAAAGTTGCCCTTTAGTTGGGTCAAAAGTACCCTTTCTCTAGTCCGGCAGGCTTCGTTGGAGGGGGTGTGTTGAAAGTCCCACATCGCCTACCTCATGTCATTTGGTATGATTTAAATACATGTTAGGCTACTTCACATATTGCCAATTGGTTTTATGTTGGAACCTTAACATTTTTTCTATAAACTTAACAATTTTTACCCCGAAGCCCACGCAAAAAGATCGACTCAAGGATCATGTTTCGTGAAGATTGCTCCAGATCATGATCTTCTACATCCAATATCAACTATCAGACTCATGCCAAACTTCCTGCAGGTCAGGTTTTGATACAGAAACCCCTTTGGTGACCCAGCTGACTTGTTTCCAAGTGCCCTGGAATAATTCATTTCACAAAACCACCTATCACAACGACAACATCAATTCTTGTTTTTCGTCCCTCTACTCTCATTTTTTGCTCTTCGCCTGTCCAGTACACTCACAAGGCTGTTGCACTTTGTTCATCATAACATGCATCTCTTGTTGTACTAAAATATAAAAAATAAGTCCTCACTTTACTGGTCTCTTGATCTAGGCTAACTGATTACAAGTTTCTTATGTTTTATATTTATTTTATTTGACTGGTTATAAATAATAATTTCATTTGAGGTTTAAGTTATAATTTCCAAGATATTTTCTGTATCTATGTCATTTATAGCACATGTATATCATTATGTATGATTGTCATTTTTTGGGAGGATCTTGTAATTAATTTTACGATCCTTCAATTTACAATATTTTGGTTTGATAGGAAATCCACTCTCAAACAAATGCAATGTTTTAAAACTTGGAACAGTGATTGAATCGATAGGGGGTTGGTACTAGATCAGTGAGTGACTAGTTGAAACATATTCATTGGGATAATTAAAAATGATTAAATATAAACATATTGTCACACTAGTTAAGTAACAATATATATTGTCACACTTATAATAAAAATATCTTTGGTTTAGTTGTTACGTCTTTGTAAGCTTGGTAGTGGATACAGGCCTCGATCCTTATCCGTACCAAATATTTATACTATTTTGCATACAATCTGGAACAGGTTATTGCTGACTGTCCTTGTATGCATGAGAAGTGGGACAGGCGCAAATTCCTTAAAATTGGTCCTCTCGGAAACGGTTTACAACACTTGAATGATGCTAATATCAAGTAGGTAACACATCCAATTCATCTTTATCTGTCTTGTGTTTAGCTTCAAATTTGAACTTTTGATTGTTAACTATGTAATGCATAGATGTTTCGTCTTTATCTATCATGTGTTTGGCTTCAATTCTGACTTTTGATTGTTTACTATGAATGTGTTAAATTTTGGGTATTTTTTATTTTTCAGCATCTATGCATGTGTATTATAAATTTAACTAATGTGCCACTGAAAACATCATATATTAGCAGATAATCCGCTACCAACTATCCTACTAAAGAAGTTTTGGAATCAGCCATTTCAGACCACTATCTATCTTGAGATCGATAACTATGGTTATGAGCATGGATATGTATGCTAATATTACTTGTCCATTTTAGCATCAAAGCAGATTATCAAAAGTAGACAGACAGATTAATAGTACAGAAAATAAAAGGAAAAGAATATTGACTGGGTGTACTCAGAGGAAACTCTTAAGTAATTAAATGCATAGGAACTAAAAAATATAATCACTTAAGAATATAAATGAACCTCCTTGGAATATTCTGATCACTTAAGAAATAAATGAACCTCATTCTAACATAGTTTTACAATTTTCAAAAGGATATTAATCAATTGAAAAGAAAAAAAAATCATTGACACAGATTATTAAATAAATGAAAAAAAAAAATTAAAGCAAAACACTATGTATCACGACCACAATTATTTGGAATTTGAAGTTCCTCTATAACATATGCCATATTTGCAATCATTGATAAGAAGAAAATGACAATAAGTGGAAAGTGTCAGGAGGAAGTTCCCTTACCTTGAACTTACAGAGAAGTTAGCAGGCAAAGAAGGTGAATCAGATCTTCCCGTGTCCCTAGCAGATGGTCCACCTATTGTACTGTTATTAACTGCACTAGTGCAGCTGCCAGCATGATACCTTTGCATTTCCCCCAACTAAAACCAGCATACTGCCCTCGGCATCATCCCACAAGTAGCTGTGAAAGCTAAACTGCATGATCCACAATGTCACCCAAGTCATTTCCAGCCAATGTCAATTAAGCAAACAAAAAAGTATAACAAAAAATTGAAAACAGGATGCATAATTGAAATAAAAAATATTAACACACAAGACCAAGCATTATTGGACTTCCTTCTGCTGCTAAAGAATTGATTCATACTGAAATCCCTAATGCACTAAAAGTTATATGTCCCAACTTTTCCAATGCTAAACATAAAAAGCATCTGGAAATAGACAGAATACAAAAACACTATCTAAAACACTGAAACTGGTTTTCACAAGATTAAACCCAATCCGACTGCTAGAGGAAAGAGTTTGAACAACTTGAGGGTTATATTCTGAATAGATTATTTCAAAACATAACCGCCCTCCTTCCCAAAAACATCTTCTCTGTCATACTAATGCTAAATCTCAAGTCATACATAAGGGAATAAAATCTTAGATAATAATGTAGCACAAGTATTTAAATTTGAATCTGCTCATTACAGGCTATTCAAATGAAAAATACGTACGAAAATTGTACCCGTAAATATTAAGTGCCAACTCTTCGAACTAGAATATAAATTTGTTGTGATCAACCATTTTATGGTAGCCAAAATTGTAGCCCCAGCCCATATATGAAGCAATAAATTACTGTAACAACAAAAAGTAGCAAACTTAATCAAATCATTCCCGATCCATACGCATAGTCCAAAACTAATAGGCAATAAACAAATAAATACCCTTTCACTAGCATCTTTTTTTTTCATCCCAATTCAAAACACTTTCTAGTTCATAATACCCTCTGAACTAACTAGAGCATCAAAATGACACTTCTACAGATGTAAAATACAACTTGAAGACAACCCACCTGCTTAATCGTCTGAAAAAACGTGGGACCCAACGCAAAATTGTAAAAATCTAAAATCCGAACCTAATGTGAAAAGGCTCCAAAATTTGAACTCCGAAGCAAGATCCAGAACTAGGGTTTGTAAACCCCAATTTTTTTATTTTACTGTTTTTCTCCAACTTCAGAAGACAATTGCGGAGACAAAAATTGGGGTCATGGGACTAGGGTTTCAGATTCGATATTAAGAAAAAAAAGGGGGGGGGGTTTAAATAACGGAAAATGGGTTGAAGATGGTGAGAAGAGGGACTGGGGCGGGGAAGAAAAATTTTGGAACTTTGAGGAAAAGGTTTGAAGAGAGAGCAAGTTAGGGAAAGAAAAAGAGATTTAGGAGAAGAAGGGTGTAAAGCTTTGACTGAGTTTTTGGGTGATGACGACCATGATGCTTCTGTTGGTTGCTTCCTCTGATAGGAATAAAGGGTGAAGAAGAAGGGATCTATTAATTATTATTAAAATATTTGTTCTTAATTATTAATATTATTATTAATTATCATGATTTTCTTAGTGTGCTTTTTGTATTCCTTTTCAAGTCCTTCTCTTCATGGTATATCTGTGAGTGGTAACATGAAAACAGAGCCAACTTTCTAGGACCAAATGGTCAAAAAATTCAAGTAATTGTTAATTTAGGGTTCAGTCATGTAGATTTTGTGTTTACTTAGGTTGTTTGATTGTATCCATCTACATAAATTTTATGCCCTGTCTCATTAGCATACTTTTTAATTATTAAGAGATTTAGACTATCATATTTTTATGTTTTTTTTTCTATTACATCACAAAATTGCTCATATCTATAGTTTTCATAAACAATTGTTAAACACTCAACAACCTATTTAAAATATATTAATACAATAGATAACATGATGGATTAATAATAAAAGATTAAAAAAATGAGGGTTAATGAAGTGTACATAACGGTGGGTATTCAAATATCATTACTCATATTTGTTAAGGTAAATAGTTAATATAATGGTTGAAATATTGGTGCATTTTTTTATTCTTTAATGTTTAAAAATAATAAAGTTTAGTACTGAATGTTTAATTCATTACTTACTTTGTTAAAAATTCAAATATACGGTGATTTAAATTATAATAGCAATATATTTTAAAAATTAAATTTAGTTATTAAAGTGATCCTCTGAATTTATTTAAAATTTTATTATTTTAAAATCTAATATAAAGTGTATATTTATTGGAACTAATTTTCTCCCCTTCTATTTAGATAACTATTAAGATGTATTTAATACGAAGAAAAAAAAAGTACAAAAGAACAGGGAAGAAAAAAAAATGATAGAAATAATGAGATGTAGAGTGGATTAAGGTATATGTAATTTTAGAAAATAAAAAAATGAAAAATAAGAAAAAAAATTACTTAATTCAAATAGTCTATTATAAAAAATAACCTTTCAATTAAAAGATGATATATTATATTTCTGCATGATAATATATATATATATATATATATATATATATATATATAAACCAATTATTACTTTTGAGTTTTTTTATTTAGATTAGTAAAAAATATTTTTTTAATTTAGACAGCATTTTAGTTAAACCTAAAAATATAAGAATACAAGTTAGCAACCTACTCAATCATTAATATGAAGTTAACTTAAACACATTTATAATGTTAATTTGATTTTGAATTTCAATATTATTTATGAATTCAAAGATTGCTAGAAATTTATCGAGATGAAAAAGATTTCTAAAAATAAAAGGATAAATTTTGAAAAATAATTTATTAGAAATATAAATTAATTGAAAAAGTAAATTATTAAAAATATAAATTATGGAAAAATATAAATTATCAATAATAGAAAAAAATTTGGTAAATCAATAAAATGGTAACTCAAATTGCAAATAACATTTTTAAAAAGTCTTTCTATTTTTAGTATCGTTTTTTAGAATGTAAATTTTTTTAATATAAGTTTGTCTCCCCTTCTTTTCACTTTGATTTTTTTTGTACTTATTATCTTTAAAAACTCTAAATAAAAAAATCAGATTAATTATTTTTATCCTCCTTATATAGTGGTGGTACACATAATGTTCATGACCACTTATATTGAATCATTTTAAAAGTTATAACTGCTCTACCTTCCTCCTAATTTTATAACCTCATTTCCATACTACTCATTCTTAACTTTATTGATGTTGATTACTTGATTTTTCTATTTTCTCTCTACACTTAAGTTTTCTATCTTCCTCTATCCTTAATACTTGATTTTTCTAAATTTCTCCTCTCCTCTTAACATTCGATCTTTTTTTTCTTCAATATTTTCTAAATTTTTCTTTTGATACATTTATAAATTTATTTATATATATATATATATATATATATATATATATATATAATATTATGACCAATATATTTACCTTGTATATTGCAATAATTGATTATAAAATTGTAGATGATTATTTATTATATGAAATAGGATTGTGACGAGATTTTGACTTAATTTTTCTAGTGGTATTTTTTATGGAAAAAAAAGTCACAATTTTTTTCTCATTTTTATGATAAAACTTTCTCTTTTAAATTCATCTTAAATTTAAATTAAAAAATATATTTTTAATTGATTTTATAATTTTATATAAATCACTAAATAATTTATTTTTCATAAATAAACATCTATTATTTCTTTAGATTTTCAAATTTGATATTCTCTGTAAAAAATGTATAGATATTAGGATATTCCGCCTTACACAAATATTTTATTGAGAACAAAATAATTTAGATAAAAAAAGTTAATATTGACAAATAATTTTCTATGTATTATCATAAATAAGAATATTAAAAAAAGATGTTTTAAGGATTATTTTATATTTAAATTAGTATTTAATGTATTGCATGAATATGTTTTATTTAGAAATAGTTGGTATAATAGTTGTTCGGATGAAAAATCTATTGATTTATTATATTGAGTTGTTGATTATGCATAATATTATTTTAGGGACATGAGAGACACTCAAGTGATATACAAAATGACTAAGAGGTGAATTAAATGATGTTAATTTGCTAGATGGTTAATTATGGCTTAAATAATTAGTCATCTTGTGATTATTAGCTTAAATCATTTATTATTTCTCAAAGAGGTTACCAAAAAAGAAAAAAAAATGATACGATAAAGATTTTGTTCAAATAATTAAGAAGCACTTAAGCTATCATTGAATAGTCAAGTAAGACAACAATTAACTCGTGATAAATAGACATTTAAGTAAAGTATATGAAGTGGAAAATAATTAGTTTCGTGATTATTTCGCTCAAATGATTAGTTAGGTGTTTGAATGGTGAATTAGACGCCAAACAAATAATAATAGAAAAAAAATGTTTTTTTGTTTTTAAGTAGCTAAAAGGGCTAAGATGAAACTTAAAAGCATAATTTAAATAAGAAAAAGACCAAATTAAATGAGTTTAATAATAAAACAATGTACCTCACTTCAAATAAGTTAATTGATTGATAAAATTATGTTATATACAATGGATTGATATATATTTATACGTGTGAATTATTAATATATGTTGATGTATGGGACAATATACACTAATAGACTCAAGGTGATATATAAGGTTTATCTAGTCTAAATTAGGTATGCAGTGGAATATTGCTATTAAGATTAGATTTCTAATACCAAATTGAATTTATAGATTTAATAAAAATGATAGGATAAGTAAGAATTTAATATATAATTCTATGATTATATTTGATAAAAAAATTAATATGTAATTAATTATTTTGTAATAATTAATTACAACAGTTTTATTATATATGCACTAGTACAAAATAGGCTTTTAACATCGGTTCTAGAACCGATGTAGAAAGTGTGACTTTCCATATCGGTTATAAGGAACCGATGTAGAAAGTCTAATATTTTTTTATTTTATTTATTCATAACACATCTCTAATTACCCTAGAGTTTCCTAGACTATCCTCTCCCTTTTATAACCCTTTTATATTATATTTTTATTATTTATATTTTTTAGGAATTTGAATTATTATCAGATTAAGAGAATTGTCACTAGCAAGATTCGAACCCAGTACCTTAGAGTCGGAGGCTGATACTCCAACCACTAAGCTACCAGGATTTTTCGATAATAACTTATACATAAATTATATTTATATACAAATAAAAATGTATATCCATGTAAATATATAAATATAAAATATATAAATACAAATACAAATATATTTATATATTTATATGTTGGATGTGAGGACGCGCTCGAGGATGAAAGTGTG